GTTTTGCCTCATGGTCTGTTTCCATTCACGGCAAAAGGCTAAAAATTTATATAGTCCTTTTCTCTTTTCTTTTTTTTTTTTTCTTTTTACAGGAAAACTTACGGTTGTCAAGAGGGAAGGAGAAATGCCATCCGTGAGCTGCATAATCCTGCAATATAATAAAGAATAACAGTGCAGGTAAAGATTTCTATGCAGCACATGGAAAACTTCTCCTAGAGTCACACATTTAAAAAAAACAAACAAACCCAAAATTGTCAAAAAATGAGCCAAAAATGACATTTCTTTTCTCTTGGAGGGGAGCTGCCCTTCCTGGGGTCTACAGGGCTGCAAGCACTGGCATAGCTTTACCCCATGCATGCAATGAAGCCCTCGCCACCAAAGAAAATGCAAAATACCCTAATAAAGCTTCAATTTTTTTTAATTGCACACTGACATGGGAAAATAACAACATGAGTGAGGGGCATCTTTCCTATTTACTGGTAAGCAAGTGCTCCCAGTGCTTCTCTTCCCTGCACTCTTGTTTATTCCCCAAATTGCATTTTCTCTGCTCTCATCCAGGCAGGAGCCGAATATTAAGAAGATTTCTGGTTCCCGGGAAAAAGCCAAAGTAGAGCATTTTAACTTCAAATAGAGTATTTTGTGGTGAGACCAAAAAAAAAATGCATTTCATTAACCCTCCAAACACAGCACTTATTTCCATTAATTTTTGCTTTTGGAGGGTTTGAAGAGGTTTCCTTATGAGCTAAGTGCGATTTGAGGTGGGGTGAGATTGAGCCCAGAATTTTTGCTGGCTCCAGGGAGTGACATCAGGATGGGGAAAGGCTGTGGGACTTCATCCCTACCTCCAAACCCCACCAAATTACCCCAAAACTCCAGTAAATCTCTCAAAAGCTAGTTTAATGCCTTCTCCTGCCTTTGCAACCTGTGGCTAATTCTCCAGGCAAGTCCTGAGTTATGTGAATAAAAGTGTTTTGCATGAATTAAAGCAAAAAAAAAAATCAATAAGAAGCAATGAAGCAGGGTCAGATGAACCTGGGTCCTTTCCCAGCTCATCACGAAATCAAAGTCAGATTTTTCCATTTGATATGAGAAAAACCCATCCCATTAATGCTTTCTAACCTGGCACAAACTCCTGCCCACACTTAGTGTTTCATTATTTCCTCCATCTCTCATCACTGCCTGAGCTGCAGCTGAAGAGGGGCCAAATCTCCAGCGGAAATTGATGCAGCTCTTGGTTTGCTGCCGGGAAAAATTTTACCCCAAGATGCTAAAGAAACCACATGGCACAGGGCTCTGTTAAATAGATGCTGTGGAGTCTCTGATTTGGGTGGTTTTAGCACTGCTAACTTTCACAATAAATTAAGAATTAACTAATAGTCAATAGGCTGCTCATGCTTGATTTGCAGCTGGGACCTGACAGAGTTCCTGTATTTCCCCAAACAAGATCAGCACTTCCCCCCAAATATATTATTAAGGAAAAATCCTGATTTTTAGAAGCTATGGATTAATTTGTCCCAACCACCCCATTCCCCGTGACGTATTTATTTTCCTAGCTGACGTATTTATTTTCCTAGCTTTGGATTTTAGATATCCCACTGAAGAGTATTTAAACCAAAACCAGAGAATCAGAACCATCTGCCCATTCACACGAGGAATAAATATGCCTGAGTATTGTAGGAGATAGCTTCAACAGGCTCACTGACCTTAATCCCCCCCCTGTTATTGTCTCCTCCAGATGCATGTCTCCACAGCACAGCCAAAGCACCCAGCATAACCCATTTCCCTGCCAGACAGAAATTATTATATATTTTTTTTTAACATAATCCAGACAGATGGATAAACAAGTGTATGAAACATCCAGGTGGAAATCCTCTTTACAGCCAGATGTGCTCTGTGGTCCAGGCATGGCTGCACCTGGCCTGGCTATGTCGAGCAGCAAAACCTCCAGAGGGTTTTGGCTATATCAGGTGGCCGTGCCAAAATCAGTCTCAATGCAATTAGTTTCAAGCTTCATTTGTGTCTCCCAACCACAGTCCTGAGTTGCTCGGGATTCAACCTGTTTATTACAGCCCATCCTAACCCTGAAGGATGGGAATAACTCCCTATCCTGGTCTTTAGGTCTCCACAACCACACATACCCTTACCCTCCGAAAAAGGGTGCCAGAAAAGCCCCAGCTTGCCATGAGCATCCCATACAAGTTTTAATTGTCTTTTGTGTCATTTCCTCTCATTAAATATTGTGATACCTCAACGTAAAGTGCAACCACTCTGCACAGGAGTGAGTTCTACTCCTCCAGAGCAAAACAGACTCGGAAGACAGATTCATCCTTTTCCCTGTAGGTCTGAGTATTTTATTTGCTATCCCTCAACGCGCAGAGGATCTCTCTATTTCAGGAGATAATGGATTTGCAGCTGTAGCCAGCAACGGCTAAAAACATCCTTTCCTCTCCCAGAGCCCCAACACCAATATTTCCAAACCAGCCCCAGATGCTGATGATCCCATTAATAGGTCTTGAAGAAACCAGTCAAGCGCTGCAATTTTCCAGCCACTCCTTGAGTCGTTGGCATTGCCTCCCATGTCCCTATCTGCTGGGAGGGATGATGCAGGGTGAACCCCCATTTTGCGGGGTGCTGGCCACGGTATTCCGTAGAAAAGGAGGGTGGATGTTGTCCAGGCTGTGCAGGGCTGGGCTGCGCAGGAGCCAGCTCCTCCCTCTTGCTATTTATTCCTCCCTGTAGCTCTGCGGCCGAGGCTGAATCACTCTGAACTGAGCAAGCAACGGGCTCCCAGCCGGTGAGTGTCGGGGAAAATGGGACATGGGGACTTTGGGTTGGATAAATCCAGAGGTGATGGGGCTTTTAACATTGAGCAGCATCACAGGGGCCGGGGGGGCTGCCTCTTTTCCCCACCATTGCTGCCTAAAAATAGACATTTCCAGCTCCGAAGACGAGCGTACTCCTTAAAAGACAGAGCTCTGCTGCTTGTTTATTCAGGGCTGATTCAAAGCTGATGCTGGTGGGAAATATCTTCCCACCCCCCAGAGCTACCTGGAGGGTTTTGTTCTTTCCCACAGCTCCCAGCTGTGCTCCCCCATTATTGGGGGGGGGGGGGAAGGGGTGTGGTTAAAAAAAAAAAAAAAAAAAGGTAGGGGGGATTTCTGAAAACTAGGGATGACATTTTCTGAAAGCAAACTGCCAGCCTGCATCCCCCTTCCCCACAGCCCTAGCCCTGATTTTTCACCCCTCGTGAGCCAGGACATTCCCAGCATCGCCAGAGGGGTCTGGACACCCCTGTTCCCAAGCATCTTCCCACCCTCCTGACCACATCACTCCTCCACCTTCCCCTTTCCCACCTCCCTTCATTTCTTCTCTCCCCTGGCCACCTTAACAAGGTTATTTCCACACTTATTTTAGCACCGGGGTGTTGGTTTTCCTCTCCAAACCCGAAACTGCCTTCTTGCCAGCCCTGCGCATGTAATTGCTGCTTGCAATTGCTTCTTGCATCCTCCATTTTCCGCTTCCTCCTCTGCCCTGAAGGGGTGCTGGGTTTCCTCTGGTTCTCCACCACCAGCGTGGATATAAATCGCTCTGATATAAACGACCTGAATTAATTTCTCATTGCCTACGTTCACCCTCAGAGAGGGAAAACTGGGATAGGAGGGTTAAAAAGAGTCAGGAAAAAATACCTGCGAAGCCATTCAGTAACATAATTTCATAATAATATTATGGTCACACCATATACTATTTCCAAGCAGAGGGAAACCAGCTCCGACTCCAGGGAAGCAGCCCTTTGGTCCCCATCAGGCACAGGGGGTGTGGGTCAGCCACTGCATTTATTCAGGGTGAAGCTCAGCTGCCAAAGAACCTTGGTAATTAGCAGCACAAACGCAAACGAGCCTTTGCCCTGTTTATCAGAGCTCGTCCCTGCGAAGGCAATTAGAAGAACTGGTTGGTGCTGCCAGGCTGGGATATTCTCCAGGGCTTTGCTATAACCTGTTTTCATCCAGAGGTTGATTTTTTTCCCCCCTTGCAACTCGCTCTGGTAAGTCACACACATTAAAAAAAAAAAAAAACAAACCAAACCCCACAATAATAACAATTGCCAATTTATTGCTTTTTTTCCCGTATGTTTTTTGAGTGCCCAAGAAGTGTTCACCCATCCAAGTTTTTGCCATGTCTTTCAGCTATTTTTAAACCCCCTGATCTCATCCTTGTTTGCTCCCAGCTGGTGGGAGCTGCGAGGCGAGGGAGGCAGCAAACCGGTTCGAAAGCAGACTGCTTGCACCCAATTTTTTAACAAGACAGTGCCAAGCAGGCAGCCCAAGCCTGGCTTTCCTCCCCATCACAAAGGGCAGGCTCTCCCACCTTCCCTGCTCTTTTAATTAAACCTCTTGTTAATGATCCCAACCAAAACGCTGACATTAAAGGACCTTAGTTTAAACATTTCTGTTAACATAAAACCAGTTTTTTTTTAAGGGGGAGGAGAGAAAGAGCATCATTATCTGAACCCAGAGAGAGATTAATTTGCTTTTTATGGACCATAAAACCATAGCTAACGTACAACAGAAGAATTTCTGGCTTAATCAGGGGTTTGCCTGCCTGTTTGTGCTGTTAAGGGCACTATCTCACAAGAGACATTATCTCTTCATTAAACTTAATCTCTGGGTTGAGTGGTGACTCTTAAGGAGGCTGGTCCATTAGTCACTGCAAAAAACCCTACTCTGGACCCAAACCTTAATTGTTTCTTGCTGTAACAGGAGCCAAAAAGCGCACCCCAAGCATCCAAGCATGCTGTGAAATGCCTACCCACGCTCTGCTGGGAATGCTTCGCTCTCCCTCCCCAGCATCCTGGGATGCAAGGGGGATTTTTGGGGAATAGCTCAGCCTTGGGTAGGACAGAAAAACCCTTTGATATTGCTGGGCTTGCATATTAAACACAAGGGCAACAGAAATTCAATGCTCCTTGTCATTGCAGGGAAGCATCCAAAGGGATTTTGCAGCTTGGGAGGTATTTTCCAAAGGTATTTCCAAAGGATTTGCAGACCTGGTGTGTATTATACAGGCTGGATTATACATAGGAAGAGAAATGGCTTGTTAAAATGGGATTTCATCCTCACCAGCTAATGCAGGAGATGCCTGGCATGCCCCTGGAATGCCAGCAGCAAAACGCTGAGTGAGCAGGTATTTGCAAACACATTAAACTAGAAAAACAGTGGGTTTTGGTTAAGGTCTGTTGCACATAAACAGGCACTTGGGCAAAACATGCTGAATTTCATTCTTTGGGGAAAAAACCCTTTGGTGCAAGGCTGGACGTTGCCCTCCTTGCAGCCCTGGGTACCCAAAAGCTTTGAGATGGGGATGAATCAGTCCTTGCACATCAGAAATCTCATTCATATAATCTGATGGGATGGAGCAGGTTTGATAAATGGATGTTTTACCTCCCAACTAAGTGAAGCATTTTTCCCAAAAGCTTTTCTTCCACTATTTAAAAGTGCCATTACTAGCAGATGACCCGTTGAGGAGGTGGGGGATATAGATGTATGTATAAAAAGACATATATTAAAAATACTCAGATATATATATATAAATAAGGGAGTTTGGGGAGGACAAATATGCATTTAAGTCTAAAGCTGTTTATTCTGCAGCTGGATTAAAGGGGGTGATATGTGTTTTATATGATGCATAAGTAGGGGATCCTACAGCCTGCGGTGCTCGTGGCGATGCGGCTGCGGGCTCTCTGCCTCCTGTCCCTAACGCTGCCTGTCCTTGTGTCCCGCAGCCATGGCCAGGCTCCTCGTCACCTGCTGCCTGGTGGCCCTGCTCCTCGGCGCCTGGACCGACGTCGCCTTCTCCAAGAAAGGCAAAGGCAAACCCAGCGGAGGCGGCTGGGGCACGGGGAGCCACCGCCAGCCCAGCTACCCCCGCCAGCCCGGCTACCCCCAAAACCCCAGCTATCCTCATAACCCGGGGTACCCCCACAACCCAGGGTACCCCCACAACCCGGGGTACCCCCACAACCCGGGGTACCCCCACAACCCGGGGTGGGGCCAGGGTTACAACCCATCCAGCGGAGGAAGCTACCACAACCAAAAACCGTGGAAACCCCCCAAATCCAAGACCAACTTCAAGCACGTGGCCGGGGCAGCAGCGGCGGGCGCCGTGGTGGGAGGTTTGGGGGGCTACGCCATGGGACGTGTCATGTCGGGGATGCACTACCGCTTCGACAGCCCCGATGAGTACCAGTGGTGGAATGAAAATTCAGCCCGTTATCCCAACCGCGTTTACTACCGGGATTACAGCAGCCCCGTCACGCAGGACGTCTTCGTCGCCGACTGCTTTAACATCACGGTGACCGAATACAACATCGGACCCGCCGCCAAGAAGAACACCTCGGAGGCTGGGCCGGCAGTCAACCAAACAGAGATGGAGATGGAGACCAAGGTGGTGACGAAGGTGATCCGGGAGATGTGCGTCCAGCAGTACCGCGAGTACCGCCTGGCCTCCGGCATCCGGCTGCATCTCGCCGATGCCTCCCTCGCCGCCCTCCTCCTCCTCACCCTCTTCGCCATGCACTGATGTGCCCCAGATCCTGCGGCTTCAAGATGTCACCTGTGTCCCTGTGGGACCCCATGAACCCCACCCCCCCCCCCCCCAGTTCTTGCTTGAGATCATCTTTGGCGAAGAGTCCTTGGGGCGCACCGGGCACCGACGCTCCCCATCACCTCCCTGGAGGCTCCAGTTTAGGCAACTGGATGAAAATTTCCTTCTCCACCCCAAACGTGTCCCTGGCATGGCAGGACAGTGATGGAGCTGGATGCCCAAAAAGGTGGCCTTTACCACGTCCTCCTCCTCGGGGCCACCCTGAGAGGGACGGGGCAGAGAGGAGCTCACCCGGTCCTCGGCATCCCTGCAAGAGCATTTCTGAAAATCCTCTTTGCTCACAAGCAGGGTTTTACCTAATCACCTTAGTCCCGCTGCCACCAAAATCCCTTTTCCCTGGGCACGCCACGGCATTGCACCAGAGCACCTATATACCCCACAGGGGTTTGGTGAGGGTCATATATGGCTTTTTCAAGCAACAAGTTGCCAGGTTGCAATTTTAACCCTTCAGTCCTAAAAAAAACCCTTCCATGTGTACATACAGACCTGCCCGCTCAGCACCTTGCATGCTGCAAATACCTCCTGCAGCAATACACAAAACTAAAGTGATTATTTTCCGCTCCCCCCCCCCCCCCAACAAGGCTGAAGCCCCAGCTGGGTTTCAGGTGACCCCCGCACCACTTTGCTTTTAGTTGAGCCTCGCTGTCTTTCTTAGCCTGTCTAAAGGCAAAAACTGCTGCTGAATGCCCCCAAAACCCCCCAAACAGTAACGCTTGTTGTGTTACAGCCCGAGAAAAAGCTATTTTGGATGCGCTATAGGTGACATGTCAAGCTCACACTTCAGCACCTTGACCTAAGGGATGTTAAAATACAGCAAAAAGGATGCTCAGGGGGGTCAAACATGTAGCAAGAGACTTAAATCCGCCGAATTGGATGGTTACAGCGAACGGCATCAGGGAAACCAAGCCTGAGGAATGGGAGATGCTTAAAAAACCCCACCTTTTACAAGTAATTTGTGGAAGCAGCGGGTGAAATTCTTGCTTCTTGTGTTTGGGTCGATGCTGGGTTCTGTATAACCTGTAGCAGCTGTAAAGTTGCGCTTGTTGAACTGGTCGCCTCAAGTTATATTTAATATCTCTTGTGTATTTTTTTTGCAAGGCACTGAATAACACCGTCCTAAATGATTTTTTGCATCGGTGTAAGCTAAGTGAAGATATAGATATACATACATATATATATATATATAAAATAAATATAGAGAGAAGAAATCTTTCAGGACATTCACCAGAAAAGCAGGGCTTTGAGGTAACCCGTACTTTGTGATACGCGAATGTTTTGTAAATCCGTAATGGTGCATGCACACAATTTTCCGTTCCAATACTTTTCTAAGTGTTCGACGTCTGGTACAAATTAAAACGGATAAAGACAAGATGCACGTCAGCCTCCTTCGTGCAAACAGCTCTCACCCATTCCCACAGCGCTGCAGACAGAAGTGGCATTTTTCGTCTTGGCTGTCCCTGCCTCCCCAGCCTGTGGGTGCCTTTGTTCGCTTTCAGCACTAAATTTGGCCTAAAAACCACAATTTCAGTTAACCTTTTCTCCTCCTCTGCTCCTACTAACGGTATCGCTACCATGCAACAAATATCTAATAAATCCAATGCGCTGGTTGGGGCCAGGGGTTTCTTCTTCTCATAGAAAGTCAACACCCACTTATACCTTGTATTTACTCCATCTATTTTCTGTCTAATAAAAGAGTTTTTACATTTGCTGTTTCAGTGCCATTAAGCCCAACCAACTTCATGTGAAGCCCTAAACTCTACTTAAAGTTGCCAGAATTCCATGTCTCTCCAGTACCTAGATCAGCATCACCGTTAGATGACTTAAACTATAGCAAAGGTTAAAAATTACAATTAAAAAGATGTGAGAGTTTGGACCCTTCAGCCAGATGGTGCTTTAATTTTAAGCTCAAGACCAAGCCTTGGACCTGTTTGATTTGAGCCTAAGCAGGATGCAATTTACTGTGCTGCAAACTCCCTTGCTCACAAGGACGCTAAAGAATTTGATCTTTAAGTGGTGCTTCAGGTAAACCCCAAAGGTGACTCTTTTGCATATTATTGACAGAAAAATAAAGGAAAAAAATATTCAGTACTAAATAGATGACTATTCCTTTGTGAAAGCAACTTGCTCACAAAGAGGAAACCCTAAGAGGTCCATAACAGGGATCCAGAACTCCCATAGGTGCTCAGAAAAAGCAAAATAAAAGCTTTTTTTTTTTTTTTCTTGAAATTAGCTACTGGGCATCCCCACATTAGATCTGAATATTGGTAAGTGGAGTAGCAAATGAGGAGTGGGGAAAAAAAGTAGATGGCTGTCAGGGTTTAGTATTGGGAGCTAGTTTCCAAAATGAGAAAATTGAAAACATCAGGATCCCACATTTCACAACTTCCCTGTGCAAAAGAAATTTTTTAAAACTGTAATGGAAAGAAGGATTTGGGGAACAGCCCCCCCAGTGATGTTACCAGGCCTGACCTAAGCATCCCTGTGGCCGCTGCTCACCTACACCACCTCAGCATCCAAACTGCATCCCAAAAGCTCTCCGGCTCCAAACATTACTGGGACATTTTAGTTAGGAAGTTATTTTGCCCTAAATATTTACAGCTGAATATCTCAGACTCTCCCCTCATGTCATTTAAATGGGGGGAGGCAAATAAATGCAGGACCCGCAAAGCACCCAACTCTGTTGCAGGGAAAATTGCTTCACTGGTCCCCAAGCTACACAGGGGACCCTGATGATCAGGGCCACAGGGAGGTTTACAACCCTTATTAATTAATATTTTTTTCAAGCTAAAGCAAGAGTGATTTCAAACTTGAAATAAAAGAAAAATAGGCAACAATGAAGATACGGTCCTTCAGTAATGGGCTCAGAGGGCCCATCTCCTAATAGACCTTGCGCTGGTGAGCTGCAGCTCAGGAATAGGAGGAAAAAAAACCCAAAAGGAGGAATGCTACACCCCACGCAAAGAAGGGAAAAAAAAAAAAACAACCAACCAACAAAGAAATAACCCCCCCAAGAAGGAAATTCACCATCACCAAAGAAGTGAATCCACACACACAAGGTAGGGGAAAAAAAAAAAAAAAAACAAACAAACACAAAAGAAGGGAAGGGGCGAGGTGGGGGGAGGGAAGGTTAAAAAAACCCATACGCAAGTTCACAAGTTAAAAAAAACAAAACAAAACAAAACAAACCAAAACCAAAGAAAGAACACCCCTTCCAACAAAGAAGGAAAAAAAAAACCCAAAGAAGGAAACCCCCCATTTGCTGACGTGAGTACATGAATATTGCCAGGAAGGGGCTGGCAGTGCCTGCCCAGCAAACGCCCCAGGGGAGGGTTTGCCCTCAACAGGCAGCAGCACAAAATGTTCATTTTTAACTTCAAAAACCCCCCGTCTTCCCTGCGCTTTACCCCGGCACGGGGAAGCTGCTGCAACCCCCCCAAGCAGGGGAAAACGCCAATGCCGGCAATGCTCAGAGGAGCTCAAAAAACCCCCTTTTCCCCCCTCTCTGCGTGCACAGCACCCAGAGTTTTTAAGCAGCGTGGGCTCCTGCGTGGGTAATTGGGTTTTATGGCGACTGTTGGAGCCATTTATTTGCTGCTTCGGGGTTGGAATATTGGAGCTTTCCTGGCTCCAGGAGCACTCGAGCAGGACATGGGGATGCGGTCTGAGCATCCTTTAAGGACAGTTGGATCCAGTAATCCTGGAACCCTCTTGGCCCCTAGATAATTCAATTTCTCTGTATTAATTAGGTAAATATTCCGAATCCTGCAGTGCTGGATCAGGGTCCTGACGAGGATGGGAAACATTTCTGATTTACCAGTCTGATTATAAACACACCCCAAAGCACAAATGCAATAAAATTTTGGGGGTTGTTTTTTTATACCGTCTTCCAAATTACCTGTCCCACGGCACTTTGCATCCCTCACCTCCACAAATAAGCATCCCCCATGCAGGCAGAGTGACTGAATATAGGTTTTTTTTTCGTGGAAAAAACTGCAAAAAGAGGATTCTCAGTGCCTGGCCAGGCAGTTTGCAGAGAGCTGGGGGAGAAATAGTCTTATCTGGAGGCTTAAAATGCAAAGCAAGTGCCCAAACCTCATCCGGGGATGATTTTATCCGTGCAGCTGATCCGGTGCTGGGGATTAGAGGAGATGCATTGCTGAGTGAACAGCACCACCTCCCGTCTGAGCCCAGCCCTGGCGCCAGGATCAGCCCTGGGGAGGGTTTTGCAGAGCTGAGTGTCCCAAAGAACCCTCCAAAAAATCACGCTGAGCTTTGTAGCCAGCTGAGCTGGAGGCTGGCACCTACTGGGTTCACGTTTCAGAGCAAAATGCATGAAAATGGCTTCGCTTTGCCTGCAAGCGCTCACCTAGAAAAAAACACATCTCTGAGGGATCTCGGCATCTGGGGTTGCTCGAGTGCAGCCCCGCTCCCCTGTCTGAACACGCAGCCCCGAAACTCCCCGGCACAAGGTGATGAATGAGAACGTTAATCACTTTTAAGGCCTTTTCCTCCAGTGCAGCCCTTTGCAAGGGCTGGAAATTAAATTGAGAGGGGGGAGCGGAGCGAGTCCTCATCTCTTGCATGCCGGCGGAAGGGAAAAAGCAAGAAAAATTTGGGAATGTGATGTAGGAAGCGAGGGATAATCCCTGCAGCGTTTCTGGGCTCAGGGTGTAAATTAGGGCCATGAGCAGAGGATGCTCATGACAGAGTCTGGTCTGGATGCAAAATACAGGATGGAAAATGCAAATTTGAGCTGTGGTTAGAGTTTCTGCTGGGTTTATTGTTTATTTTAAACAAGTACATGAAAAAAAATAACCCCTTGGTGCACTGTAAGAATAGTTGGATTTGTTCAACCCAGATGCTGTCTCTAAGCCCAGGTGATCACGGTGATTTGGATAGCTGCAAGAGCTTCAGCCTCAGGGGCATCCCCTGCCTGCCTGCTCCAAAATGCCATTGAATCCCTCAGGAGCCAAAAGACTTATGTAAAAATTAAATAATTATTGTAAAAGAGCCCAGAAAATCAACGTACAGCAGCCAGGTCTCGACACCCCTCGACAGAGGCAGGACCTGACTCAACAGCTCTCTTGGGGAGATGATAAGAATAGTCATACCCCACAAAAAACCCCACTAATTCCAAGGGAAGATGATCCACTCACAGACATCCAGCTCAGAAATACTTCAGTGAGGGAATTACCTGCTGGAGGATGGTGATCGTGGCTGCCCACAAGTTTATTGAGGATCCCCAGTATTTTGCTTGGCACCTCTTTATTTTCTTTGCTCACTACAACAGCTGAGCTGCTGCAGCGAAAGCAGGTTTTAGGAAAAGTTTAAGCACCAAAACAGGGACTAGAGAAGAAAATGCAGCTGCTGGAAGGGAAAGCATCCATCACTGCTGCTTTCGAGCTCTTCCCAGGGAGGATTTGCATCCTCTCTGCCAAATGTGAAGCACCTGAGGGAGGCTCAGTCCCACAGCTGGGTGTGTTTTGGGCTGGGGATGCTAAAGATTGGGACATATTTGATGCTAACAAAGCCAGAGAGACGGGGCAGGGCAGGGGTTTCTCTCTGAGCATCATGTTCACCCACCCACCCACCCCCCCCCCGCAGCATCCCTCGAAGATGTGGCTCTTCCTCGGGTTGCGACCGGTGCTAAACACACCGGATTTGGTTAAAAAAAGAGAGGATGTCTCAAGGCCAAACTTTATTGTAAGGTGGAGGAGTCCATTTTCAAGCCCCGCATCCCCTCCCTCCGAGTCCCAGCGTTCTTTTGGGGGGAAAAGAGCATTTTTTGGTAAAGCTGTTCAATGGGAAACAGAGCCAAGCGCTGGCAGGGCTGATCTCTCTGGGTGCAAATATCCACACGTCCTTGCAGGGCTGGATTTGCTCACGTACGTGCTCTTGCGGATGGTGGGTTTGCAGGATCCGGCCAGCTCCCGGGTGGCCCCACGAGCACGGGGGTGGCTGCCCAGCCCCAGCTGCTGGCACAGGGTCCTGTCACGCCGGCGGGGGGGAAACCGAGGCAGAGCATCTCTTCCACCTCCCCAAGCCACATCTAATCTCCCAGGAAAGTCATTCACTAAGAAATCCCAGCGAGCTCAGCCGGCCGGGGGTCACCCGGGGCCCCCCCTCCCCGTGCTCAGCGCTGCAGCCCGTGGCTGATGAAGCAGACGGCGGGTGCCAGCAGCAGAGCGGGGCTGATGCCACCGTGCCGGTCCCGGGAGGCTCGGTTGGGGGGTCCCCGCTTGGCACCCACGTCCGGCCAACTTGGGGCATGAAATCCACCCGCCGGCGGGGGCTGCCGGGCCGCTGGGACGCCGTGACCCAGGCGGGACGGTCGTGGGCGCCCCAAAAGCCCCATGCCGTACCCCGCGGCAGCGCCGGCCGCGATGGCCCCCGCCACCTTCGAGCCGCGGCCAGGGGTGCCACCGCTGCGGGAGACGGCCCGAAAGCCCCCCCGCAGCCCCCCCCCCCCGCCGCCGCCGCCTCGCCCGCCGGTTCTCCCCCCGGCACCGCGGCGGCCGCTGGCGACGTCGCTGAAGAGGGCGAGCAGCAGCATCGCCACCCAGCACCAGGCGTCTCGGGGCCTCATCCTGCCCGACCTGCGAAAGGGGCACAAGGAGGGATGGTGAGCACAGGGATCCCAGCTCCGTGCACTGCGTGGTCTGCCTTAGGCGCAGGCCAACCTACTTTTAATATAGTTAATAAT